TAACTGTATTTTCTATTCTCCAGCTCCTGTTAAACTAGTTACTAATACTGTATTATTTAAAGCATTCCTGTTATGAAACACGGGGTTTTTTTGCTAAATAGCGTAACCCAAAAAAGAAACTCAGTAGGAAAAGAGTTAAAAGAAAAAGGAAAATAAATTAATGTACATCATGCACTTCAAGGAAAAAAGCTCCTTTGGGAATTTGAGTTCTCTAAACTCACTACCTTCTAGCATGAAGGTATTATAGGTCTCTTTATCCAAAAATGCTTCCATAACTATGTTATGGGGGGAAAATGAAGCAATTGTGACCCCATAAATCTCTCAAAATAAAATATAAAAATATTAAGTGTATCATTATTCATTGTTACCTTCACAATCTAAAATGCTATATGAAAGTGAAATACAGAAATATTATGAACACAAGTAAAATAGTAATCCCAAATCCAAAAACTTAGACTGACTCAAGCATGCATTTTAGAATTTTTATGTTCAGCACCACGAGTTTCATGTTCTAGTAGGGGAGAGATGCATTGGCTTTTTTCAGCAAAAATATGTAATAAAGCACATAGGGTAAGATGGTGATAGTAACCAGACTCCAAGACTGTCAGAATTTATTCTGACAAAAAACAAACAAACCCGCACCCCACAATATACTCAGTTTATTTGCCTTCCACACCTTCAAATCATCACCAGCCACACATTTATTACTCTGTTCTTGTTTTCCAACTCAAATTGATTTTTCTAGCCCAGGTCTATTGCACTATTTAAGGTGCTTCAATTAAAATGGCATATTTTATTCATGATTACATCTAAATATTATGATTATAAGGATCATGTAGCGTCTTTAGAGAAGACACATTTTCAATATTTCTTTCAGCCTCCTGCACCTCAAGGCAACATTTCTAGTTTGTCATCCACAAAAATGACTATGGCCTAAACTGCTCCAAATTTTGCACAATCCATTGAGATCTTTTTAAACCTTACATTGATTGAGAGATCAGGTTCATGCCCCCTGAAGGTGAGAAGCTAAAAATGGATAGATCTCCTTTCAGGCTTGAAAGTACATTTTCACATCTTTGTGCACGCCCTAATGTAATTTCAGGTAGTCTAAAGCATTATCACCTCCACCAGGGACAAACAAATGAAGGAAGTGCCCCAGAACATTCCCTTCATCTGAACTGAATAAGCAACCTACCATGCAACAGAAATATAGGTATATCAGAGTTTTGTTTTTAAAAAAATTAAATAGCATATCTATAGATTACCTTACCAAAATTATAAAAAATTAAAACTTTAAATAGCCTGAGATACTTTAGTAGTTTCAAACTCCACTGAACTAATTTTAACTAATAAAAAAAAATCCACATTTGTGGTACTGACTTTTCTCCATTTGGTGTCCCAGTGCATGAAAAAAAACTATTTCCTAAAAATGAAAAACATTTTTTAATTTAAGAATTATGTTCTGAAGTTGGTGCTTTTTTTAAAAAAACACACACAAACACACACCAGAAAGTACAGACTTACTATTTTGATTTGTAAGTATTTTAACATGTCTTGGTTTCCTTCTGTAACTCAGCTGTAACCCACCACAACAAAATTTCAAAACAGATGTACATAGAGTAAGAAATTACAAGGTGCAACATTGTTATACAACCTACTATACAAAAACAGGTCATTTAAGTTACAAGAAAGCCAGTCATCAATAAATGAAAAAAAATACCCCACTCAAAAATCAATTATCTTGAGTCTTTTGTATAGAGACGTAGTACACCTTTCAGGCAACTGGTATTAATGAGAAGACATGACTATAGAATCTCCATCTGTTTTTCTGACAAAGCTGTGACTACTCCAGTCTCTCATTGAAATTCCATTAATCTGGTGCACCAGGGTCCAATGCGAAAATCAAAACTCCATCTAACCCGTTATCAGCTCACAATAACCTACAAGTGAACTCTGCCTGTTAGCACACAGCAAGTTATGATTTTGCTATCAGTCAGCCTGTTAGCCAATAAAAAAAAAAAATCAGGTTAGGAACATAGTGCCTGGCAGGGTTTTTTTGTTTTGGTTTTGCGGGTGCTTTTTTTTTTTTTTTTTAATCCTTTTTCAGTTTCTGCAGGGTGTTTGGACCTTCTGAGTCTATGCATTATTCTCCTTCATTGTGATTTAATTGCTGCCAGCAATCAAGTCAAAGCATCACTGAAGTGTGCTTGAATTTCATTAGAAGATATAACTTATGCTACTTTCCTACAGTACCTAATAAACCATAAAGAAACCAAAACACATATGGCTTGAGGGAATAACTGGAAAATTAGGTGGCCATTTGGGAACTGAGTGAACTTTTGAACCAGGGGAACATAGAAAAAGAAATATTAAAAGGAAAGACAGACTTAGAATGCACACAGAGATGTGGGGGCTGACCTTTTCAGTACCTAGAAAATTACATTAGCATTATGAAAAATACATATCATGTTTAGAGTTTATAATCCATCAAAGTTTAGATACTTTGTTAGTGCCTACCATAAGGTAAAAGTCAAAAGGACAAAGTAACAATCAGATTTGACAAAAGGCCTTTTGGTGACCTGGACTAATTTAGTTATACTGTACTTATTGTTAAATGGATTATCTTTCTTGTAATTAATATAACATTAGATAAATGTCACACACGCAAAAACAGGAGTTTACAGTATTGCAGAGTAAATAAAATAACCCTCCAGCTACAGATAATTATTAGTATATCTTTACAATTATATTTTTAGAGGAATACTAAGAAATCTGACCTTAGTATCTTTAGAAAACATGCAAGTCTTAAATTATTTATTGTAATGCTTAAGCACATAAATGTAACAATGTTGCATTACATAATTATTTAAGTACAGTTCAGTAGAAGAATGATCCTTGAAGTTAAGTGGAAAACATTTCTGAATTTAAGTTAGGCTCTAATTCCATACAGAATAAGCCTTTATCCTGCAACTGGAGATGCACGATGAGATTTTTACACCTGACGGACTCCTATTTAAATAAATTGGGCTCAACACAGGAGCATGCCCATTAAGTTACATGACTGCAGCTTTAGGGTCCTAAATATAAGTAGACTGGTTTCTGAAAGGATTGAGTACCCACAAATCCATGTCAATGAGAGCTGCAGGCACTCAGCATCTTTTAAAATCAGGCCACCGTTTAGGTTCCTAAACACAAATTTGCAAGACCAAGTCTAGGCTGCTAGATTTGAAAATATTGGGCTACGTTTTGAAATTCAATTATCTTTAAAATGAGCTACTGCACATGAATGACTCAAGGAAATTATCAAATGTTTATGGACCAAGTCCATCATTTTACTCACTTCTGACTTGGTCAAATCTCTAAAATGATCAATAGCACCAATTTCATCTTAAACTATATCATCTTATACTAGCCTAAAAAATATAACTATGTTCAATCTAATTATCAAAGAATTTTGAAAATTGATTATTACAGTAATATCTATGCATTGAATCTAATAATTACAACTTCCAAAAGATGTTAAATTCATTATCTGTATGTCCAAATTGATATGACATTAGCATTGATCAACAATTCATTGTTAAATTTTGTCAAACTTCTGTCTTTTTCTTAACTGTAGAGCTTCGATATATATCCATTTTCTCTGCCAAAAACTAGATAATTTTGACATATCTTTTGTAGCAGCTTTAAGCTTAACATATCATAAGATATAACCACAAAAATGGAAACTTCAATTTATACTTTGGAAAATTAATTTAGATTTTATGTAAGCCATACCCTATCTGACTTAATTATCCTATGAACGGAAAACAAAGAGTTTATTTTTGTTTTTTTAAATAAAATTTCTATATTTGCCAAAATGCAGAACTAATGCAACTTAAATACACGATTACTGCTGCATGGTTTAACAAAGTTGTGTGTATAAAGAAAATGTCATTATTCAGAATCAGCGGTTAGAAGGTTTATCACTTATGCATGTACTTGACTTATCCCTGTTCTGCAATAGACATAATTTTATACCTCATAAAAGCAATTTATGTTTCCAACGGGAATAATCTGGATAACATAAAATGTGGAGTGCTATGTTGCGGGAAGCATATTTTCATTCTGCAATTGTATTCTGAGATGGAGCTGCACAGTTTGATCATCATATCATGGCAGAAAACATCATTCACTTCTAACTTTCAGTGCCACAAATTAATAAAGATAGTTAATTCATTTCTATATGTATTTAATTTATAACCATATATTACTCATACAAGGTTTTTATATTACATGTAAAAACAAATTGATCTCAAAAAAATGAAAGCTATTATAAAGCAAGCTTAATTCTTGCAATATTCAGTTGTTCATATCTTCCTTGTATTTATAATGCTAAAGTTGAGTGTTTATGTACTTTTCAACACAGGACAGAATGAAAACAGCTATGGGCAAGGTTTTTTTAAATTCAAAAAGAGAAGTCAAACTAAACATTTATATAAAGAAAACAATCTACACAAGACAGTCTTAATGTGAAGAAGCATTGTAGGAATAATTAATATTTTATGAACTTGTTCTGCATGAAGTTTGAAGAAAAATAACAAACTGTTTCATTATTTATAAAATAAATAATACAGCAAACCATTAAGTAGCACAATAAAAATTAAGCAAGAATCTGATAACACTGAATTAATAAACAATTTGTTACTGTGAATATTCACATACTGCTTTACTCACTGATCTATCTTTAAAAAAATTCTACAGAAGAGTTTTCATTATCAAAAAACATGAGTAAAAAGTGTGCACTTATGACAGGTTCACTATCGTTTTAGCACCACTAGAGAGAGCTCTTCAGTTCCTTAAAGGTTCTTGTAAAGGTAAGAAAACTGTCCAGCTGTCTGCTGATGCCTATCTGTTTATCAGGTTTCCTACCCTAACACCCTAATCAAGAGGATCAGATTGCATGGGTTTGTAACAAACTTGCAAATCTAGGGCATTCTAAAATAAACAGAGTCACATACCATCAGAGGGTGCTTCGTCGTCTTTATCATATCGTTCAGACGCTATTG